TAATTAATGTTTAAATTTTAGTATTAGGAAATTATAGTATTAATAATAAAAATAACAAAAAAAAAATTTATTTATTTATACAAGAAACATTTCGTTTTAATGAAATTTATTTTTTTGTTGCATTATTTATGATCGCCACTGTATGTGCTACGTTACATTGCAACTAACACTTAATAATAATAATAAGGGTGCGAATAAAAAAATTTATAAAACTTGTTTAATTGTTTGTAACTATTTATGTGTTCTTTCAAAAATTCGAAAAGCTTGTTTGTTTACTTTTTTGTAAAAAATATCAAAAAAAAAAAAAAAGAAATTTCTTTAAATTTTTACAAGGAATTTACAATTATCTTATCTACACTGCCTCTTCTCATATTTACGGACAATGTTACGATTATAAATTTCTACATCTTGATCATTAATTCTTTTTGTTTTGAATGATTGGTTAATTTTCTTCTTTAAGTTAATAAAAACTGATATTTTTAACTTTTAACTATTAATTTATGCCCAACAAAAGCCTACATGCTACTTGTAAAACAAAAAATTTTCGAGCGACTCAAGTAATACATATTTTTCTTTCTTTTTGTGGTATTTAATGAAGTGACAGGATTTTAACGCTTAAATTAAATCTTTTTTTTTATAACGATGCTTTCGTGTTGGAACTTTAGTTCAATTAAATTATTTTTAGACTCTCATAAGAACTTTCTAAATACCTAGATTTACGAAGCCTAATAAACCCAAACCTATCAAATATTAGTAAATAAAATTATTAATAAACATATATAGATAAATTTTTCTAACAAACGATGGTCAATTTATCCTTTGGAAGAATCGTTACATCCTTGTAAAAACGATTTCTTGCTCTATCGAAGAGACAATCTAACGGTCGTATAGATTCTCTCATAAAAGAAAACCTTGGAGGCCCAAAAAATTCATTTGAGGGGCGGCGCCTCTTGATCTCTATATGGTTTCTTGAAGAAACCAAATTACCACGCCCACTAGAGATCCAGCATTTGAAATTGCGCGGCCAATATCGCCGATCGTACATGTTATCTTACATTATTAAGTTATTTTTCATTATAGAAGGTATTAGTGTATAAAAAACGTAATTTGACCAGATTGAGATAAGTCTTGGGACTAGACTATAACTCTACAGTTTAATAAAGATACTATTTACACTTTCAATCTTCTTTCTTGTCTTTGTGTAATAAATCGTTTATTTGTTATAATTTCTCTTAAAAAAGACATTTGAATTATTTTGTCCATTGTGTTTGCTAGCTTTGGTTTGGTGTAACACCGTACAGTAATTTGGTCTTCGCTTCGCTCCGGAATTCCATTACCAAATTCAAACCGAAAATTACTTAATTAACCATAACAACACTCAATACTTAAAATTATTAACTATTGAGGTTTTAAAATCCGTGATACCCAAGCATGATTGACTCTATGTTTGATAAACATGAGGCATCTTAAACACAATAGGCCTAAAGTTCATTGTTGGTCTCACAACGAAAATTAAAGTTTTTTATTTGTGGCTTCTTATTAAGGTTACACTGATAAACAAATCGTCATCAAAATTTCCGGACGCGATCAAGTATTTGTCAATCATACATTTAAAAGAATAAAATTTCCCATCATTTTTAAATCTTGGAATTCCTTTTCTTTCAAAAAATTTTCTCAATGTCTACCGAACTATCAGATTTATTGCATAATGAATATGACGAAGTTCTTAATTCATGTGAATTTTCAGATATAGAAATCATGATTGGTGAAGATCCCGATACAAAGGTTTATAAAGCACACTCGCTGATTTTAAAAATACGTTCACCTTATTTCCGTACTGCTTTAACAGACGATTCAGAAAGAACAGATGATAATAACGTTATTAAATTGCAAAAATCGGATATTACTGTTGAAGTGTTCGATATTCTTATAAAGTAACTTCATTTTATGATGTATTGTCTTCATTATTTTGTAAAGGTCAAAAAACTAACTCATGAATTTAATTTAGGTACATGTATAGCAGTTTTATTGACCTTTACCGCAACGATATTAAAACAAATGTTGCGCTTTTAATTGCTGCTGATGAATTATGTCTTAACGGTCTATGCAATTTTATTGAAGAGCATCTTCTTAGTGACGAAATATTGTTAAAACAAAATTTTATTCTCATTCAAAGTGTTGCAAGCAAATATCATCAGTTTAATAAATTGGTTCAATTTTGTGAAGTTAATTTTGAACTAGACCCCTCTTTAATCTTTATGGCAGAAGATTTCACGGAAATCAAGCAAGAAATCCTCCTCGATGTTATAGAGAAAAATAATCATGCTGAGAGTCCTATCGAAATTTGGGATAGATTATTCGAATGGTGTGTCGCACAATCTAACGATGAATTATCATTAGATGTTACAAAATGGACGCAAAATGAAACATCAATTTTCAGATCAATAGTTCAACCATTCTTACCTCATGTAGATTTTAAAAATATTAGTCCCGCAGAATTCTTTCAAAAAATCAAACCACTTAAAAATATTTTTGACGATGATTTTTATATTAAAATACTTGAATATTATACTTTTTATGCTCCTTTTAGCAATGTTAATTTACAAAAAAGGAAAGGGAAATGGAGAAGGGGAAGGGGAAGGAGAAGGGGAAGAGGTGCAATGCAATCTCAATTTTCCGACGATAACCAATCATTAAACGATAACCAATCATTTAATGATAACCAATCATTATCCGGTTGTTATTAAAGTTTTTTTTTCCTTGATATTCGTTTCGTTAAACGCTTATTTTTTTTAAAAAAAAATAAAATAAAATAAAATCTATTTACTTATCCTAAATCGAATATGAATGCGTTAAAATAATAAGAATTCTTAACGAATGAACTAAAGAAAAGGATGATCTACAAAAGCATGAACTAAATCGCAGTCTATATCGAATGGATAATATGTTATAGGTGGGTCGATTTTATGTCCTTGGTCGATATGTCATCATGAAAATTATAAAATGAAGAGAGATTCAAATAGAAACAGCTATAGTCAGCTCCAATTCCTTTTAATTAATTAATATAATATACTTTGCTCAGTTTACCCTTGAGTTCTTTGTAATAACGATTCTTGTATAATAAATTAAATGCATCTGGTCACTCAGAGTGTATGTACTGATGTTTAGGCAGTTTATTATTTACACTTTATGCCATTTTTTAATAAACATCCAGTTTAAAAAACATTGTTCGTTTATAAGTAATAAACAGAAAGTATAGTATAAAAATAGTGTAAAATCCATTGTAATAAAGGAAACAAAATTTTTTTCATTTTTTTTGTTAGCATTAGCAATACTTGTATGTTATTGATCTTTTGAATATGAAATTAAATATTTTTCATTTTCAAAACGGGCCTTTACAAATGTCGGTCGAAGACCCGTTCAATAACAATACGTGTGCAGTAAATATAATAGTAAGATACATAAAATTACGCAATCCTAGTAATAATTATTTAAATTTTTTTTTCCATTAGAAATATGGAATGTACTGTATATTAACATTAAGAAAATTATTTCGCGGTAAGAATAAAAAAAGTAAAACATATTAATTCATAAAGTCTAATTTTTTAATAATCTATTTCCTACTTTTAAATGAATTTCTTAAACATCTCCATTGATGTAGTAGGTACACAGAAAAACCTCATAAAACAAACCCACCACACTAAATTCTCACTTATACATTTATATTTTCATATAATGGTAACACATTTATGATTTTATTTTCATGAGTGTGAATTCGCAAAAAGTTGTGATTCAAAGCTTTTACTTGAATCATTTGTTTTTGATAAAACGTATGTATATTATGGAAATAACGTTTAATAATTCAAATATGAATAAAAATTAGACAACAAACTATTTAAACAAAAAATTGAATTACATCAAGTACTTTACGTTTCTAAGCAGAATATTTAAATATTAGGTATGTAAGAAATCAATTAAGTGTTAATTCCATTTATCTCATCGAAATATCAATGCTAATTAATGAAAGCTACCCTAATTATCTATTCTATTGAAGAAAACAATTTTAATTTACGTAAATTTCGGCGAGGTAAATTTGGCGAGTGGAAAAACGCCTAGAGGGCAATTTGGCATGTAGCCAGACGATATTTTGGCTAGAAGGTATTTTGACCCTATTAAATTCCGGAATACATTATTCATTTATTAAACTATTATGAAAAAATCGTAACACTAGGAAACGCGTAAAATTAACTTTATTAATAAAAAAGAAATGTCGCAACTTAAAATTTCTCTTGTTATTAACATTAAAATATATCTGAAAATTTTTCATTAATCTAACCGGCTTCGTCAAAATCTCTTGATCCTCTTCTTTTATAATATGCCGCCCCCATCTAAATCTTGAACGAAACTTACAATCAAAAGAATAATATTCAAGTATTTCAATATAAAACCCATCGTCAAAAATATTCTTAAGTGGTTTGATTTTTTCAAAGAAATCCCTGGGACTAATATTTTTAAAATCTATGTGATAAGAAAGGTTGAATTATTTTTTTGAATATTAATATTTCATTTTGCGTCCATTCTGCAAAATTGGATGATAATTTATTGTTAGATTGTGCGATACTCAATTCCATTAATATATCCCAAATTTCAATAGGATTTTCAAAAATATTGTTTCTCACAAGGTTCGTAAGGAGGATTTCTTGATTGATTGTTGTGAAATCATTTGCCTTGAAGATTAATAACGGTTCTTGCTCAATATTAATATTATAGAAGTGAACCAACTTGCTAAACTGAGTAAAACGACATGCAACGCTTTGAATGAGAATAAAATTTTGTTTAAGTAATATTTCATCTTCAATAAAATTGCATAGGCAGTTAAGGACTTAATTCATCGGCAGCAATTAAAAGCGCAATATTTGTTTTAATATCGTATCTGGAGAGGTCAAGATTACGAGTGTACAAGTACCTAATTAATTGAATAATATCCATGTTTAAATTTTTAATAGTTAATGGTTTGAAATATTACAACGTAAAAAGAAAAAAAAAATACTTTAAGATAATATCGAATACATCAATAGAAATATTAGGTATTTGCAATTTAATGACATCATTTTCGATCTTTATCCAATTGTCTGATAAAGCAGTTCGTAAATAAGGTGAACGAATTTTTAATATTAAAGAGTGTGCTTTAAAGACTCTAATGTAGGGTTCCTCTCCGATTAAGATTTCTGTATCTGAAAATTCATTATAATTAAGAATTGTGTTGTAATCATCTTGCAAAAAATGTAACAGTGCGGTAGACATTTCGGAACATTGAACTTGCATGGTTTAAATAGTGGTTATGAAAATTCGGATTTTACTTTTAAAGGAAATGATCGCTAACGTAAAAGACTCCGTCATTTTGACCTGAATTTATGTCATTTGAGGTCATTGTCAAGGTCATTTGCCAACACTTTCTTGTAATGAATTTATGGTTAAAAGAATCAAAATAAATCAGATAATTGTTTGAGATGAGCGTGAAGGTAATCATAGTGTGAGAGAGCTTGGAGGCGCAGTTGAAACTTGCGTGGTTTTTTCGTACCATTTCCAATTATTTAAGTTGATTAATTTCATAATTGATATCGCGAGATGCAAATGACTAAGTGTATATATTTTTATTATAAAATAATTGTCGCATACTGCTTAATTACGATTGATTAATAGTCACATAAAAATCATTAATATAATTGCTAATAAATTTCGCGGTTTCATAATTGAACGACTATTGTTAAAGCAAAAAAAAACCACGAATTATCAATTCGCGTAGCTTATTATTGATAGTAATTTCACGGATTATCAGAGATTACTACACAGTTCACGGTAAGCAATGCATTGATTGGATAATTTGCCACGAAGTGGCAAAATCCACC